GGGGTAACATCCGTGGGAACTCTGACCCCTAAACCCTACATCTCCCTTCACAACACCCAAAACCCCAAAGCTTAAACCCTAAACCCAAATAGCAGCTTCATGTGCACCCTGTACATACCCTGAACCCCAAACCCTAATAACAGCTTCATATGACCCTTACACCCCAACAACAAATAATAAATTCATATGTACTATAGCCCAAACTCCTAGTATCCCCTTAATCACCCACCCCTACAATGCTCCTCGAAATACCCCCTTTCAGGAGTTTAGATTCTGACCCCTATAATACTCATCTATATACCCCCTTTCAGGAGCTTAGATTATGACCCTAAAACTCTCCCGTATATAACCCCTCATATGAACCCTGACTCGACCATCCAGGTTGACCCTCCGAGGCGCACTGACGCGTAGGAGGCCTCAGGTACAAAGTGCGCCCGGATACACTGGGTCAGTCCAGAGCGGGGGATAGTTCTACTGCGATAATGGAAACATGGATTAAGGTTTAGGTCAGTCCAGGAAGTGAAGGATTTGGGTCTAGGGTGTTTGCAAGGTTTAGGGTTCAGGCTTAAGGCTCATGACTAAAGAGTAGGGTTCAGGTTGAGGGCTATGGGCTTAGGTTTGGGGGTGCTGGGTTGAAGGTCTATAGGGCTTTCAAAGACAAGGTAGCAATGGACCGGTTTCGGGACATACCGGCTCCAACATTATGAGCCAAAACTACTCAAACAGAAGCAGATTCGCGCTACGACACCCTGAATCCTAAACTGAAAACCACTAAACCACGGCCTACGAGACGACAAGCAAAACATGGAAAGAGAGAAAAAGCAAACTCAGCTCCAAACCCCGGACTGGAAAGTACACCCAAATAGCAATTTCCCGTGATAAAAAAAAAAAACTGAACCCTGTGTTGATGCACCGAAGACACTCAGCTTCTCTTTCAGGAGCTATGTTGTAAGGGCCTACATGCAAAAAGGGCGAAACCCAGCGCGGAGAGCATTCCTAATGAACGCTTCTACCACACCCTGTACCACGCCCTCCCACTCCCTGCACATCTCTTTCGCATCAATCGCCATAGCAGCCCCATGAAACCCCTGATAATACAGTTGTTTCCATGTTGCTTTCCATGCCTCGATTCCCTGATTAATTTCCATAAAGGGGGGGGGGGGACCAATATTGCTGCAAATCAAATGTCATCCTTAGTAATTTGTACTGTATAGGCACTCCCCGAAAAAGGGGCCTCATTTTGCCAAATTCCCAAATTCTAAATCGATTCCCATTAACACCTTTAAACAGTCCCCTATGTGAGCCTTTTCCTCTTGTCAAGCCTAAATGCCCTATACCAATCCCAAGTTTCCATTCCATTCCCAATGTTTTCCCCTTCCCGAAACCTACCCCAAAACCTAGGGTTTAGGGTTTACGCTTGAGTGTTACAGTCAATGATAAGGGTCATTTTAAGGGCTCTGTAAGTATATCATGAATATTATCCAGCTGTTAATAAGTGGGGGCAGTACTCGAAGTAAGCTACAACAGGGGCCTAAATAATTACCTATATAATTTTGCGGTCCATTTGAGGTACCACAGACAATCATAAGCAATATGGAACCATAATTTTGGTAATTGTTTAGGCCCCTATATTAAACTTGCTAAGACGCCAGGATTGTTATGCGCTGCCAGCACGGCCAAGCGCTCGCTACGGAGGGCTCTGGCCAGCGCGGGCAGCGCCTGCTCGCCGGAGCGCGCCTTCTCCTGAGGCAAGAGGTAAGGTTAAAAGTCGGCGTAGGGTTTTGCATTCAGGGCTTCACAGGATTTGGAGTTCAGGGTTTATTCTGCTTTTGGGTGGCTACCGTACTTTCATACATAGTTTGAATGGCGGTGAAGCAAATGGACAGGTAACCCTGAATGCCCGAGCACACAATCCTTGAGTACTTGCGATTTGGGTAGCAGGGTTGTGGTATAGGTTTGAGAGAAGTATGACCAGTACTTCGTGTGGACACAGACATAGAAAATAACATGCAAACTGCAGCATTCTGGGGGGTTTTCAAGGGATTGTATGTAGAGCAATGTAGGGGCCTACATGATTAGAGTAGGCTTCGGGCACGCAATGCTACACTATATAAGGACTTGGGGGAACAATGTATGCTTGCCTGCTCTCGGTAGTTTGGGAAGCAGAAGACGTAGGGTTCCAGGCCCAGACTTGCGGCCCAACACGAAGTAATGAAGGATGTTGGGGGGACCTAAAAGCAAACTTACTGGTTCTTAGTTCGGACTATGGGACTATACTCTATTGGGATATATAGGGGTTATAGTCCCTTTTCCCCTACTAAGAACCAGGAATCAAAGCAGACCTCAAGAATTCTGGAAGGCTTTGCTCCAGGCAGGCGCTCTGGGCGCCGGGTGCATCTGACGTCTTCAGTTGTGAGGCAAAGGGCGGTGGCTGAGATTCCGGGTTTAGGGTTTAGGGTTTAGGGTGTAGAAAACTTGACAGGGAACAGGTATCCTCAACCTTGAATATCGACCGGAACAGAAGATGCTTGCAGTCTGCAGCGGGGATTAGTTGTACGAGGCTTCGGGTGCCAAGAATCATTCTGACATCAAAGGCAAATCTCTACAAAGGCAAATCTCTAAACCCTACACCTTAAATCCTAAACTCTGACCCTTAACCCCTAAACCCTAAACTTTCAACCACAGGAATATAGAAACTTGCGAGATGACCTTGGGGGAGCCCTAAACAGACACCACCGACATGTACATCGTACGATTGAGAGCTGTCAAGTACTTGGTGGCTTACTTTTAGAAACTACCAAACCTTAGTGGGTTCTTGTTGGGGAATTAAGGGAACCTAAGGCCTATATAGCCCCTATATAATATCTTCCCTCTACTTAGAACCTGTAAGAAACAGATCCCTGTAGAGGGACACCTACAATCAATATTCATTTCCAGGAGCCCGAAGACACCCCGATTGTTGAAACTTGCTTATCACCCTGGTTCTCAGTAGGGAATCAGGGAATATCCGATATAGGGATTACATAGGGATGATGTTCCGTGATTCCCTGCTAAGAAGCAGTACGTCATGTTAGTACCGTGGAAGGCTCGCAGCTGCTTGTCCATCATGGCCAGTGTATCCGTGAGGGGACACTGTGTGAATCAGAGTTCCCTCACCGGTACCCCCATATGCAGCTACCCATGAAACTCCGAGCGCAACTCTCATGAGTAGTCGCTCTCTCCAACCATGAGTACGTTTTAAGTAGCTCGTGCCATTAAACTAGGGGAATTGTTGTGAGGGTGGTGGGTGGGGTGGCATTAAGTCCGGAAGTAAGTAAGCGCCATGTTTCCCACAGCAGCTGTGGTTGGCTTTTTGTCGCTTCGCAGAGTGGGTGACGGGCCGACACCGTGTGCGCCAAGCGAGTGAGGTTGTTCTCCTCACCAGAAATCCGTGTTCAGCTTTGAAGGTTGGGTGTAGGATTGACGTCTAGGTAAGGAAGAGTTACAAACTGGACTAACCCCCTCCCCCTAATATTAAACACCCCCACCCACCTAATATTCAATACTGGTATGTTATACTATATTGGGAGTATTCAACATTGAAAGGGGGTGGTTTAATATTAGGGGAGGGGATTAGTTGTGGCAGTTTCCGCTCACAGCCACAACAATCTCTGTCATGTGAAAGTTCTACTTTGGGGCCGGAACAGATCTAGATGCAAAGCCTGGACATCAGTTCCAAGTGGAGATCCAGGGAACGGACAGCCAAGTAACCTAGCCTGCTCGAAGGGACTGTGGCGTCTGTGCTTAGCGCAAACAAATCACTTAGTTATAAGCCACATTCAAAACCACAACACCCACCACGAGCAAACGTGATAACCCTTGCACCACTGTAGAAGCTTGACGAGATTTCGAACCCTACATCTCCTCAAGACCCCGCCCGGGAAACACTATAAACTCGACATCCCTGGACATTTAAGGTTTAGGGTTTATGCGCAACTTCCCTCAACCTTGAACCGCATACTGCCATACCCTGATTCCTGGACTGATTTTCAATACTCCTTTTGAGAACCCCCCCATGCCCCGAAAAGCTTCCCGGTAGACAGCAGCAAGGATTGCAGGAATGGATCCTTGTGGTAGCCCCTATATAACTACCCCCTGTAGAAGTGTCCGTTTATCCCATTTTTTCACTGCAGACTGTATAACGACCCTAAACCCCAGCTCATGTGAAACATAAGCAGCTTGCATTTTGCCGTTTTTGTACCTTTCAGCAGAACCAGAAACAAACTTCCACCGCGAATCCGAGCGCGCCAGGCGTGCTGAGATGCCGTTTGTCTTTGCCAGACGTGGAGTGGACTGCCCCGGCTGCCTGTGCTTTCAAGCTTTAAGATTTTGGTTTGCAGCTTCAGGAGTAAGAGTCAAGGGCTTCAGTTTGGGCGGGTTTAGGTACTTGAGGTTTGAAAATTCAAGGGTTATGTTGATAGGCTTTGGGGTTTCGGATCTAGGGCCTTGAACGGATACTGACACTTACAGTCAATTGGGTCTTGCAAAACACGTCAGTAAAGATTTGGTAAGGACTTTGACAGACTTTAAGAAGCTTGTGGCTGACTGCAAAGAAAACATGTAGTGTTTTATTCCAAACATGTCTAGAGAAGCTCGAAGTGCTAAACTAGGGCTTGACGTGGTGCACTGCAGCTTCCTGGGCTCTCCTAGAGAAAGCCCTCAAAACAACGGCAAGCCCCTGGGTCCAAAGGCCAAGATTCAAGGAACCGAGCAATCACCATTTTTGAGAAACTTCCCCCACATGAGGCCATAACTTCGGGACTCCAAGACCCAATCTACATCTTTTATAAGCTGCTGTGGGACAACATCGAGCCGCTACATTAGGATGCATCAAGGTTGTAGTAGTGGATCTGTTCAAGCTTCCCTCCGGTCCGTAGAATGAAAATCCTTCTCCTTCGGGCAGTCTTTACAAAGACCTCAGTATGAAGAGACAAAATAAACCTTCCTAAGAAGGACGAAGCGTCTTGTCGCCATCGTCCGAAAACGGTTGGCTGGCAGATTTACCCAGCTTGGGCGGCAGTGCCTTCACGGTTCCTGCGTGGGTGCAGCATGTAGGCTTCAGGTTGTCCTCTGCTAGGAGCCTGTTCCTTCATGTACATACGCTTTCACCGCTGAAGTCTCTAAACACTTGCCCGCACCCTGCCTACTGCATTGAGAACCTCTGGCAGCTCTCTGAACTGGTACCTCAGCAAAGTGGTATGGGTCAGGCAAGGGCCCCATAGCCACTACTAGTGGCCGCAGGATCATGTCTACTATGCGGCTATTAGTGCTTGGGGGCCTAACCCCAGGTATGTGATGCTGGGGCTAAGGGTTTTAGCTGAGGGCTTGGGAAAGGTTCGGGCTCCAGGAAAGTCACCTTTGAAGGGTGCCATAAGGCTACCCTAAACCTTGAACCAGAAGTACCCTTTCCATCCGACAATCCCTTCCCCCGAATGCAAATACTCCGAACCCTATTTAATATTCGGGGGAGATTTATCGTACGACCCGAACAGTAGGGGGTGTACATAATGGGGTCCTTTTAAACTTTGTTTAAACATTGTGAAAAATCGACTAGATGTAATATGAGACTATGACAAATTAGGGCCTTATTAAGGACTATCTCAAATTAGCGCCTTATTAGGGATTATTTCAACTTGGTGCCTTATCATTATTAGAGACTATTTCAAAGCAGGATGTTATTGAGGACTATTGCGAATTAGGGCCTTTTATTTCGAATTAGGGCCTTATTAGGGATCATTTCAAATAGGGGCCTTATCAGAGACTTTTCCGAATCAGGGCCTGATTAGGGATTATTTCAAATTACGGCCTTATTAGGGACTATTCCGAATTAGGGCCTTATTAGGGACTATTTCAAAATTAGCGCCTTGTTAGGGACTATTTGAATTTAGGGCCTTATTAGGGACTCCTTCAAACTAGGGCCTTTTCGTGGACTACTTCTATTTAGGGCCTCAGTAGGGACTATTCCAAATTCAGGGCCAATTAGGGACTGTTCCATAATTAGGGCCAATTAGGGACTGTTCCAAATTAGGGCCTTGGAATCTGTCTCTGGAATCATTCTAGATAAATTCCTTTATAAAAACCATTCAGCAACAGTCATATCTAGGAAATCAAGGGATCTCTCAAACCACCCCTAATTCAAAGGATTCGAGCCGCAATTAACTTTAATCTTGGCCATTTTAAAGGTAGTCTCGGGGGCAAATTTGCGGGAAGGGATTAATCGTTTGTTCCTTGGACGGTTGTCACCTTAAACCCTACCGAACCCCGAATTACTCTTTCCATCCGATAATCATTTATTTCTTGGACGGTTGTCTTGAAAGTTCTTGCTTCAGGCAGAAACAACACAAGACTGCATCAATCTCATACGTCGACGGCATTGGGCAAGCCGATGTCACTCTGGACATCTTTACTGGCGCCAACCGTACCCAAGACTTGCAATTTGAAATGGGCAATGCCCTAGGCTTTCTTGTACATTGCTGCTCTAGCGGGGGATAGGAACGCAACTTGCGCGCCACCAAGCCTTCGTGCCCTACGCCTAAATTAATCCTTCAACCCTAACACCCCACCACCCTCAAGAAACCCCACCTAAATTCAGCGTCAAGAAACCCTACATACTTCAAATCCTGTGTCAAAAGCCCACGGCACTTCAGAGTCTTCCGCTCGTCGTTGCTAAGATGATGCGCTGACTCCACCAGATGATGGGGGTCGCAGCCCAGGAAGTCCTCTTGGATGCAATCATAAGCCCGAATCATTGACCCACAGAACCCTATAGGTATTTGTAACTTGTATATTACATGCATACATACATACATACATACATACATACATACATAGGGGTCAGAGGCTAGGAATTCGGGACTATAGGAGTTCTAGGACTCTAGGACTGGACTTGAGGGTCAGAGTTGGGGGCTAAGGGTTCGGAAATTCGGATTCGAGTCGTCAAGCTAAACGGCTTTAGGGTCTACGGATGGGGTTTAAGGCTTACGGTTGGGGTTTATAGAGTTTAGGGTCTAGGGTCTAGGGTTGAGTTTTAGGGTTTGGATCTAGGATTGGGGTTTAGTGTTTAGGCTTTGTGTTTGGGCTTTGGTGAATATTCCCCCTACCATAAAAGCACGATAGTCTGGGGCATGTATTCTTCGCGCGTGTGTGGCGGAATGTATTCTCAGAGGAGGGGGTGATGTGAAGGACCACGGGAAACTAGGTGATTATAACTTGTTTGTCTCACCTAGCTTGTAATAGGTATTCGAATCTTGACAACCCTGGCCATAAATTTGTCTTAGCTGGGATACCCTGGCGAGGCTAAAGCTGACAGAGTGGACCTGAAACTGAAACCCTCATAGTACACACGGCGCAGGGTCTAGGGTTATAGGGTTCAGGGTTTAAGGTTTCCAGCGCAAACTCTCATGGCACAGGCATCTTCAGGATGCAGAATCAGCCTGGGCTGAAATTGGATTCCGGCGGAACTAGGATTATCTATCGTGCGGGCACTTAGGCCCCAAATCTTCAACCCAAAACCATCAATCCGAAGCGCTGAACCCTACATCCTGAACAATTTCTACCTACATATATGTATATATATATACATACAAATACGTAGAACTATATACTGACATACATCGTTGGCTGTCTATATTATAAAAGTGTGCATACACGTACCTTCTTGGGAGTTTCAGTGACCGGTCCTTACACCTCTGCCCACTGAGCTCGGCTTGGTCTTCCAGGGCCAAGGCTCGAACTGCCTGCATTGGGGGGGAGGGGGGGGGCGTAGGATTTAGGGTTTAGGGTCTTAGGGTTCAGACTTTAGGGCTTCAGGGGTTCAAGGCTTAGGTTTACAGGGTTGCCCGAAGATTTACGTAAGGGATATGTACCTGTATGTAGATGAATCATTATATGTGTATACATATATATGTATATACACCTATCTTTAAGGCCGCCCAAGCGTTCAGACCCGGCGTTCAATCCGATTTCGGCAATTGGCAGCACACAGAAACTCGAAGGCATCCAAGCTGCTGTTCAACTTACTTGCAATTGCAACTGCGGAATGAAGGACTGTGAATACGGGCTACCCGGATAATCATGAGGGATGATGACACATAAGCAATACCATTAAGGGGGTTCACTACTCCATCGCCTTCTAACAACCAGTAACTGAAGCAAAATATCATTTCTGGGCTCTTCCCTGCCAGCCTTCAAATTCCCAAACTCGGCAGCACGGAGGTAGGCCTCAGTCTTCTGCCTTATCATCACAACTATGGGCTCGTGGGTGCTGTCTATACAACATGACAGTTAGACTTTCGAAATCCTGAACCAATGACTGTCTGTGCATGTGCCCTCTCATATGGGAAGGCAACCCTTCTTGCGTACATACAATAGCGGCCTTGACAATTAGCATGTTTTTTGACACTAGCGGCCTTGACAATAAGCATAGTCATTTTGGCTGTCAAAACAAGTTCAACCTCTACAGCGCAACCATGCTCCCCCCATAAAAACACTTAGAACCTAGTCAAGACTGAGTAGCCTATGATCCAAAAAGATCCACACTGGCAGCGCGAGGAAGAAGTACCACTGGTCATGCGGGGAAGAAGGAGACCACCGAGAAACTTAATTAATCATCAGGCCAACCACTTTGAACCATGAGGAAAAAGCTACTGTAATGACAACAGCTTCAAAAAAAACAGCAAGATAGGCGTAGACTATCCAATCGTTTTCTAGCCCTTGTCCTCGCAATGGGGACCCAATGACTGTATGATTACAATGTTCTTGTTCTTGGGGCTACTGCACCGCGCGTCCTACACCCCATACAGCGCAACTCTGAAACCCCAAGCCCACACCCTGAAACTTGGAATATGCCCCCTGAAACAACCATCCCCCAATCCCAAGGGTAGAAGTACTTAACCCTAGATAAGAATTCCCATATCGGATTGCTAATTGCTATAGGATATGATATCTAAATTTGTCCAACCAGAACTTTAAGAATGCTGACTTGCCGAGTCGTCGACCTGTGTGGCTAATTTGTTCTTCCTCCCAGGGACTTTTTTTGATCAGGGTCCGACTGGGCTTGTTCATCTGATGCGTTCTTACAAAAAAATGGTCCTTCTTTGAGTCTCTGGTATAATATGGCCCCTATATTCAGGGGATCCCCCAAATAACGAAGAGTTTTGACAACCCCATGTAGGGTCCAGAGATAGCTTGGGGTTTGGTCGCGCATGGGGAGGTTCAAGGCTGCTAAGAAACCTAAACTAAGTTAATACTGTATACCCATATTCTGGTAACCCTAAACCCTTAACCTCATATACCCATATCATGGGTAACTGAATTTAAGTTCTTTAACAGCAACCCGCAAGATTCTGGCGGAGGCCTAGAAATTCTGGATTCGGCGCCGTGACTACTTGTCAACCTACTGGGGGTTAGTAAGGAAAACGTGAATAGACTATAAAGGGATTATGTGAGGATTATGTTCCTTTATTCCCTACAAACCACCAGTAAGCTCACTGTGTAGGGTTCATAGGGTTCGTAGGGTTTAGGCGAACCCTAAACCCTAAACCCTCGCGACCCTAAACCCTAAACCCTAAACCCGCGAGGCAGGAGGCAGCGAGACGCCTAGCGGCCTCGCCAGGTCCAGAGTCTTGGGCCCTCGCTGGGTTCAAGTATTCAGACACATGAGCTGTAGTCTAAACTCCTAGTACTGCTATAATTGTATGAGGTAATGGAGAATCAAATGGAAAAGAAAATGGAGAATGAAATGGAAGCTGGGATTATATAGGGGATTATAGGGGTTATAGTCTAAACTCCTAGTATCCCGCTTAAAAAGCCCTCTAGTAGTCCCATATATGATCCCTATATAACCCCATTCAAGGAGTTTAGACTATGGCTCACATGTAGGCACTGGTTTCGCAGTCATCCGGGCAACTTCCAAGGAATGTAGCGGGGGGGGGAGTCTGAGGAAGGTCTGAGAGTTAAGCTCTCTTTCAGCGCGGAATCAATAACAAAATGGAAACTACTATAATATTGGGGTTATATTGGGGTTATAAACATCCTTCGGCTATTCCGTAGACCAACCAGATTCCAGCTTAAAATGCCCACATCAATCCACCACCAAGGTCAGCAATCAACATGCGGCTCTAGGTGCTATCACTGAGCGCCTTTCTGAGGAACGTTTATGAGTGGGCAGAGCCAATTGCCCGGGGCGCTCTGCATCCTTGTTGGCACGGCCTTCTTCGCAGGTTTTTCTTAGCTGGACAACTGGTTTACTTGAACCTGCAATACTGTTGCCGGGGCTGACTTTGGAACAAGGGACTACGAGTTGTGTCAAAATGCACACTGCTGGAGAATATTATATATAGTAATGTAGACCCATGATTAATAAACCCCTTCCTTTTAAGGGATATACAGATGCCTATTATAATCCCTATTAAAAGGGAAGGGTTTATTAATCATGGGTCTTCATTATCACATTGCTTCACATCACCCGTCCTTCGGGGTCTTGCTCTGAAGCCCCTTCCCAAAACCCTTGCACCCTACCAAAATCGATATAAAGCCCTGAGCCCCCGTACCCTATAATCATCCTAAACCCTAAACCCTAAGCCCTCAACCCTGAACACGAACCCCTAACACCCCCAACCGCAACCCCAACCCCCACGGAGCGCAGCCAGAATTTTTCTCTCTGCAATGGTAGCTAAGGTTGCTTCTGGCTCCTCAGTCTGCTCCGTGGGACTTCGGGGGTTAAAGTTGGGATACATGAAGGAATGGAAAAGAAAATGGAAACTACAGGGATTATAGGGACTATATAGGGATTATATAGGGTTTAGAGATTTAGGGTTAAGGTTTGGGAATGAAGGAATGGAAAAGATAATGGAAACTACTATAATGGGTTGTATAGGGATTACTATAAGAATCCTTCCCTTCATTCCTAGCTAGCCAAAGGCCAGCTGAAGGGGTTGTAAGGAAAAAACAAGGGTACATATCCTCGGTTTGGGGATGAGCCCTTTAGCAGGGGTTGTAACGGGAATTTTCGCGTTTGTAGGAGGGTATAGGGCTTCGGGATGAGCGCTGAGGATTTGCGGGGTGTCCAAAACTTGGAGATAACATCTTGGGGGTCCCTACCAATAACGATCATAACATCTTGGTATATATAAGGGGTCCCCATAATATGGAGATCTGATCTGGGAGACATCAAGATTTATAGGACTTGGGATGTAGGATTTGTGGGGTTAGAATCTAGGGCTGAGGGTTCCAGGTTTCAGGTGATTTGCACTACTTTGAAGGACTGGGGCTTTACCTGTGTGTGGAAGACCTACTTGCACAAGTTTACTTTTGGTTGTGCAGACAGTCCTGGGGATATAATACATTACCCATTACCCATTCCCCGATTCCGAAACGCTTTCAGCAAAGGCCTTGCAGGGGGTCTACAAGTCGTTCCCGCAGGATGTTGATGTGTCCATCTTTTTGGCTGCTGCTTGTGCAAAGTCCAAACATTCAAAAATCACTGGCAGGACCGTTTAGTAAGGCTAAATCCCTAAGCCCTAAACCCTAGGCCCTACATCATTAAACCTAAACAATCAAGCGCAAACCCTAATCCGTGAACACCGGAGCCCTTCACTTTTCACCGGGCCCCGGATTCTCCAGTAAATCCTTGAAGCAAGCTACCCCCAACCGTGCACCCTCCAATGCCACTTTCTAAATCGGTCAAGGCTCCAGCATTTCAAGCTCCCAGACCCGGATATCCAGATGCAGCCCAAGCAATGAAAGCTACCGCGACCAAGGCTAAACCATAGTAGGCTGTGGGGTTCAGCTCCCTATGTCGCAGAAGGTTTTCCACCTGCAAGGCTTGAGGTTCCAGGCTTGCTGTAAAGTTACTCCAAGGTTAAGAGCTATACCCTGGCTTCTAAAGGTTCACGTGAGCAAGAAAACACTGTTTCATCTGAGGCTCCCACATAGTGGCAACTAGCTCAGGAAGCAGTTTAACATGCTCTGCTAAAACCTAAACCCTTAAACTCTAAACCATAATACTAAACAGCAAAGTAGTGCCGAAGACAACCCCAGCCGCTTGATGGCCACGAAGAATCCGAAAGCGAAAGCGGTCCTTCAAGTTCTTCACGTCTGCATAAGGTGGCCCTGGTGGTGTGCAGATTTGGGTGACGCTGGGGTTTGGGGGACTTTAGCGATATCTTGTGACTACCAAGGTGTAAAGGTGTCACTTTTTTCCAATGCTATGTCGTAGAGTAGAGCGTGATTTAGGGGACTCCCATCCATATCCGAAAATGGCTTCACGAGACGGATCCTTCAGATATGAGAAGAAAACCCGTGAATTCGCAGTACAGTCAATTGACTTAGTTGACTCCCAGGTTACTGAGGTATAGGTACAACTTGATCCGAGTCCTCAAGTTTGAATACGGGTTCTTCTCGGATACAGCGTCGCGCATGTATCTGGGCCCATGCTTGTGGCAAAACCCTTTAGTCTGTGGAATAGTGTGAATGTCGGGTTCAAGCCTCTTGACCATCTTAACCAACCCTGAACTCAAAATGATACAAAAGGTAAGAACAATAGTAACAATGGCAGATAATAGTAGTGTCTTTCTTTGGATGCCTACTCTTTGGGTTATACCTGAAAGGACGCTAGTGTTTCGACGCACCAACACGAGGTTTCCCCAATTTTTGGTTCTCCGAGGTCATCTAGGGATACATTATACATGCGGAGTATGAGGGGACAATAAGGTTCCCTTCGAACAGACTGTATAGTGGACATGGTGTTGCGAACTTCTCACAGATGTATAATTCGAGGAGCAGTTGGTAACTCAAATCCCCCAAACTTGAACCGCAAAATTATGTTGACTATGATCGGGCCTGATGTGGGGGGTTGGGTAATCAAAATTGCGCTCATTACCGATTACAATCCCAATTTGGCCTTCTACGATCCTTTTGCGATCCCTTCGCATGATACCTACAATCCCCCCAGGGGGTATCACAAATCCTCTAACCAAATCCTCTTACTGTGACTAGCAAGCACCTTCATCGCACTGGGGCGATACCAGCCGGATGTTGCAGTCGGCACCTTCGCCGGTCCCTGCCTCTGCTATCCTGAGCAGATCATAGGAAAAATCCACGTCTTAAGGGTTTTTTAAAAGGTCTGGTCAACGCCTTCACAAGGACCTTTCGGGGTTTCATGTGGGACCGGGTTGAGGAATTTAGTTTAGGCTTAAGGTGTAGGACAGCCTGTGGACTTGAACCTTTAGGGGCTTTCCGAGACACTATGTCCGGAAACATAAAAGAAGAATAGCTTAAGTCTGCATCCAGGCCTAAATAATCACCAACATCATGTTGAGGTCTACGTGAGGTACCTTATAGCCTTATACCATCACCATGTTAGGAAGCTAATGCCATGAAATTTGTACTGACTCACGCTTGTATTTCCGCTGCTCGGCCAAAAGGTCTGTCAATCACACGCAGGACTTTTGTGCTGCACCTAGACCACCCCCACACGCAGGACGCTTGTGCGGCACTAGCAAACCACCCGTCTTGTAGTTCCACGAAAGCCAGAGTAAATAGCGACGTACCACTGAACCCTGCGCCCGAAACCCTGGACCCTGCGTTCAAAACCCGAAACCCTAAAACCTGACCCGAACTGTCAAAAGCCTCAAACCTTAAATCCTGAATCTTGACCCAAATTCCTAAAGCCTTATCCCAAGTCCTAAACCCAACATCCCAAATCCTAAACCCTATAAACCCCTATAAACCTGTAAAAACCATCTAAAAACCTATAAGGACCTTATAAAACCCTAGAAAAATCTAAAACCCCAGCCCCAGGGCTGACGAGCTTCATGGGCCGGGCGAGGATGGTAACTGGGATCCCTCTAGGAATGGCCAGCTCCGTGTAACGGAAGCAATTCTCCTCAGGGTGTAGGAGTTTAGGGTTTAGGGTTTTAGGGATTAGGATTTAGGGATTAGGGTTTAGGGATTATCGGGTTTAGGGATTAGAGTTTAGGGTCTCAGGACTTGAGCGTAAAGGTTCAGGAATTGAAGTGTAGATTATTAGGGGCGTAGCATTAGAAACTTTTCCGTCCTGCCTAGTTTATAGCAGTTTCCATGTTGTTTTTCATTCCTATACCCCTTCATTGGGTTTCTGGCCGAAGCCTGTTGGAGCTGCTGAAAGGCACGAAGGCCTGAAGTGATCCTTCAATCATGACAGGCTGCGGGTCTATGGGACAAGCCTGAGTGTTGGGTACTTTTTGAACCAAGTAATGAAACTGTACCACACCTAAACAGAAGTTCTGATCCTGCTCCGTATTGGCAGCTAAAACGCTGCCCACGTGGGCGTAGCAGCAGTATGTATGGTTGCACTGCTTTAAGATGCAGTAATATACATCCCCGCAACTAACATGGAAGTCACGGGCCCCTTTCAGGCTCCATGTTCGTTTGCGGGAGGGTAGGCATCTCAGGGATCGTGGTTCAGGGAGTTCAGGGATGCATGGTGGCCTAGGGCCGTGCCTTTCGGCATTAAGGTTGGGTATCTTCCTGTGCAGAATGAACTTCCTTTGAGATGCTCAGCAATTTTTCCATAGCCATGCTGCCCTGCATGATGCCCACAGCATACTTACGTTTCAACTCTTCTTCTAACCTCGTGATAGATGCAGCCCTAAACTCTCAAGTCCAAGCGCCCTAAATCCGGAACTCCAAGCCCTAAACTCTAAACCCTACATCCCAAACCCTAGAATCTTGAGGCCAAAAACCCTAACCCTAACCAAACAACTGTAAACCTACATCATAGGGGGCCCTCAGGATTCGGCATCTCCTCGTCCCTACGTTGCTCCAGTTCGGCTCTGGAAAAAGTCGGCTCGCAGTGGGGCGTGTAGCGCGTGTTCTCCTTTTAGCTTGGGGTTCAGGATTTGGAGTGTGGAGATTGAAGTTTAGGGTTTGGGGTGTGCGGCCTGGGTCAAATCTAGGCTCTGGGGGCGTGGGGATTGGTTGAGAAATTTGGAACGTGAAATAGGGGCTTGGAAGCTCACAGTTTCCCTAAACCCATCAGGGAGTAGAGGCTAGGCCCGGAATTTCGGATCGACGACTGCAGTGGACAGCAAAGCTTTTAATAGGGTTTATGGTTTAGGGCTAGGGGTTCCCAAGGAGATTCTACCTTGCATTGTCCCTTCGATCTCAATACAATTCCCAATGATATAAGCTATAGTCTAAACTTCTAGCATCCCCCTTAATACTCCCTATAGTAGTCCTCTATATAATCCCCTATATAACCCCTTGAAGGAATTTAGCCTATAGTTCATATCATACTATGAAAGCTTGCATTTTCTTATTCATGCCTTGGGCCCCTAAACGTCAACCCAAGCCCTAAACCCCCTAAAGACCCCCAACCCTAAATACTAGCCTAAAGCTCCCAATCCTACACCCTAGCTAAACCCTGAAACCCTGAACTCCAAATCCTAAATCCCTAAACCCTAAACCCTAATCCCTAAACCCTAAACCCTAAACCCTAAATCCTGAGCCCTTTTCCCTGGGCCCCTTTGGCCACCTCGCCTTGGCCGCAGCTTGCGCTCTGTCGAGCAACTCCCTGGCCGAGATCATCTCCGTTTTGCGGAATCCTGGGCGAGCTTCTTGATTTAAGATCCTACGGACGGTTTAGGGTTTAGGGTCTAAGGTTTAAGGTTTAGGGTTTAAGGTTTAGGGCTTAGGGTTTATAGGGCTTAAGGTTTAGGGTTTGGGGCTTAGGGTTTAGGGCTGAGACGGCTTAAGATGGTACTAGGGTTTAATCATTTAGGGCTTCGCCCCCTCCGCCTCACAACTAATAATTAGGCTAAGTAGGGGAATGGAAGAGAAAATGGAAAGACGGCCATTTGGAGTTTAGCGTTTAGTCATTTAGGGTTCAATCCTCTCCCCTTTTAAAAATGATATATAGGGAAATTGAAAAGAACATGGAAAGGACTACCATAGTTTAGGGCTTTGCACGTCGTACTTCTTGCAGCTTAGTGGAGTTTCTGAGGCTTCGGGCGTCGTGAAATTTAGAGTGTAGCAAAGCGTAGGGCGTAGTAAAGTTTAGGGCTTAGTGAAGTGTAGGATTTTGTAAAAGTTTAGTGCGCAGCACAGCCTAGGTATTTGGGTTTAGTAAGATTAATGGTTCTGGGTTCCGAAAATGCCAGGATTGCCTATTGGCCTATTCGACCTTAGAAGCCCTGAACTCTACACGTCTTTGGGTACAAGAAGGAGCTCGAAGAAGCAGAATGGGGCTTCGGGGCGGGTGATCGCTTCTTGAATTCAGGATTTTTGGAGAATCGCACGGTCAATTCTTCAGGCGCCACCATAAGTGCAGCTACCTAAAAAAGCAGCAAGGGAGTTCCCACAGGGACGCCAGGAATGCTTGGAAACTCGCTGGACACTCATCCCCGTGTCTTAAAGCCCAGACCTTCCGTGATCTGGAGGGAATAAGTCTCCCAATCCGTTATCACCGAGCTTTTGTAGTTAATTTGTACACTACCCCTACGCACTGTCTTCTAATTGTGTATTCTACCCAACCATGATCCAGGATCGGCCCGTAGCGTAAGCGGGCACATCATCATAGCCCCCACCGCGGACGGAGTCGTAGAATCCTCGCGGCTCCCACCTAAGTTCCGAAATTTCAGGTTGAGGGTTTCGACGGCTTCTTAGCCTGCAACCCCAAAATCCCAAAGTCCCACAATGGAGAGCTGACGACTTAGGACCCTGTATATATGCATATATATTCCCAAAGCAATGAAATCTACCTCAGGATCCTAGTCGCAAGAACTTCGCTGGGGTTGGGCCGGTGGCAAAGGCCTCACCGATCTCTTCCAGCACATGTGGGTTGCCTGATGGGGAGAATGCGTGATTCGCTTTTGAATGTACGGCTGGGTTTGAGGTTTAAGATTTAGGGCCTGGAGTTCGTCTGATTTGCGTGTCGCTGCAGCTACTTTAAGCCACCCTGGTGCTCCACCCCACAAAAAAACAGTGCATTGGGCCCTAGATAGAGTTTAAAGATCATAACTAGTGCATACTGCAGGGGCTGACTATAATTTGGCAGTCTATCTAGGGCACCCTTGTATTATTGGTAACTATTCAGGCCCGTGTACTAAATGACTCTGATCTTTGGTAGTGGTTTAGTTTTCCAGCTACCAACATGGCCATCATGGACACTATTGTCCCACGCATTTGCCCGTAAAAGCCTCCAGGAACCCGCAACATCTTGAGGTCAACCCCCCGGATGCCTAAAACCCGAACTCTAAACCCTAAACTCTAAACCCTTAATTCCCAAACCTAAACTCTAAACCCTAAGCTCTGGACCCTAAACTCTTAACCCCAAAGCCTAAACTCTAAGCCCTAAGCTCTTGACCCTAAACTCTTAACCCTAAACTCTTAATCCTAAACCCTAAACTCTAAATCCTAGACCCTGAGCTTCCTGGGAGCCCGCCGAGGTCCACGGTGGACTGCACATCCAGGAAGATAAACTCCGAAAGCAAGGTGTAGGGGTCCGAGAGGCCTTGACTGTGATCAGAGCTTAAGGGGTTTGGGGTTTAGGGTT